ATTCATTGACTGCTTATATTTTTTTACATTTTCGCTGGCGATATAATCTCGTTCTTTGAACAGCTGTAATATCTGACTAGCGTAAAAAATATTTTTCATTTTAATAACTTCAAAAATTTATAGAATCTACGAATAATATAGAAATTATTTCTAATCAATAAACTTACGTTTAGTACACGGCACAAATGCTTAATTTGTTTTATTATTTTCAAGGAACAGGGTAAAATATTCTTATTCAGGCATGGTTCATTAAATCAAGATCTGTACTACGATGTTTATTTATCTATGCCGATTTGATTGTTGATATCGGTACACATACAACGTTGATGCCGGTACGCATACAACGACAGATCTCTATTCACATACACGACCACTAATCACAATCGACCCATATAGAAATGATTTCATCGAAAGCGAATGACGCACAATTTTGCCATAACGCATTTCCGTTGCATTTGTACGGATTTACATTCTAGTCGCGTCTAAAGAAGTTTTACTTCAAAAATGATATACTTCATTCATTACAATTTTGCATATATGATATTGCTAAGCTAGAGCTAGAATGCCAATATATAAAAACAGATCTGTTATTATAATCAGGAAACTAATAGATAAACAATCGATCGTTTTTTATGAAAGTCTAAAAAACTAAAGTTGTTTGCCTTATGCAGATGAATTAATAAAGCAATAAAGTCAAATTGCATGCGATCAAGATGCAAACACACTTCATCAATTACACACTCGATGATTATAAAATTACACAAATTACCAACATTAATCATCGTACATCTTTTGAATCAACATATGAAAAAAGATACATACGCGGCTGAAAAATAAAAGAAAAGCGGAATTATGTACATCTACACGCTAATAAATACATATAACTGGGTGTACGATAATAGTTTCAAAAACAGCTGCGGATTTCATAAGTTTATATTTTAAAAAAATCTGCAAATTAAATAGCAATCAGAATCTAAGCATTCTTGTTAATGTTCGAGTTCATAAGAGATCATTTTTGTGATCTATAACCTGAAGTGGAAATTTAATATGATATTGCTTGATATCAAGGTTTAAATCAAACCCCGGAATAGTTTGTGCTTGCCCGTAACACCACAACGGGCTTATTTATAATTAGTCAAGAAATTGATTAATTAATTGACTCTAGAACTGATTGAATTCAATATTGAATCTGGTCAAATCTGGTCAATATTAAATCTGATTAATTTTGATAATAAAAATGATTGATTTCGATGTCCTTTAGTACTATGAAGCTTATACCGGAGAGCACGATTTTCGAATTTGTTTTGTTCATTTTGTCGATTTTTTTAAAAAATTTTCTTTGACCCGCGCTTTTTCAAACTTTTACACCTATAATTTGCTTGTCTTAATTGCACTAAATGTAAATCCGTTCCTGTTCTTTAAAAAAACATCTATCTTCCACGACGAAACTTATACTGGAAAGCACGATTTTCGAATTTGTTTTGTTCAATTTCATTTTGTCATTTTTTTTCGTTTTTTTTTCTTTGACCCGCGCTTTTTCAAAAATTTACACCTCTAATTGCATTAAATGTAAATCCGTTCCTGTTCTTTATAAAAACATTTATCTTTCACGATGAGGCTTATACCGGAGAGCACGATTTTCGAATTTGTTTTGTTCATTTTGTCGATTTTTTCTCGAATTTTTTTCTTTGACCCGCACTTGGGTCCGTTTAGCCCTCAGCCGAAGCCACGAAGCTCGTTCACGTTCTGGTTAAGAAGGATAATGATAATTACGCGAACATCTCGTGATCGCGGAATTAGTTTTACTAGATTAAAATAGCGTGAAACGGATTAGCAAACCGACACTTTACATGAGCTAACAGGGATAATAGACAAATGGCTGGGTAAAAGATTTTTTACGTTAATTTTCGTTAAACTAATCATCAATAACTCTTTCTCAATGCAATTGCTTTTAAGTTTTTTTTTTTCAAAAAAATCATTGATTATTTTTTTAACAGAAACAATAATTTATTCTAAATTTATATATCCTTAGTTAATAATATTTAATCCTTTCCACTCGTGAATTGCGAGTTTTATATGAATTTTGCCGCCGGAGCAGCGGCATATGAGTAGAAAGAGTAATAATAAAATAATCGAACGGATCAGTAAATCGGCACTGTATATGTGCTGACAATGTCTGGGTAAAGTCCGGGTAAAAATATTTAAAAAAATGTTGATATTGTTTTAGTTGATGCAATCACCAGCCTCGTCTTAATTTTTTTGGTCATAAAACAAAGGATGGGCTCGCCCGTAGGTAAGCGGTTAAGAGCGACGGGACTTGTTTCAGAGGTTCCGGGTTCGATTCCCACTTCGAGCAGCCTGTTGTCAGGTAGCAGTGACAACGATTTTCACTTGGAAATATAAATAGCAATATGTTTCCAAGTGAAAATAGCCCTCATCCGGCATTGCTGCACCAATAAAAAGTCATCCCTATTAGATTAAGTCTAATAACAAAATCATCAAATATGGATGGATTAACCATTGGGTTACCATCTAAAAAATACGAAGTAAGGAAAAGTTTCAGCCCAACGATATATTGGTGTTACTTTTTGATTATACGAATGATTTTTATTATTCGATTACAATGTGAGTAAATATAATACTAGATCTTCTCCGTCCATAACGCCTAGATGGTCACGATAAACGCATTCTCCTGAATAAGGTTTGACTTTAATAGTCTTGGAACAAGCATAAGATGCAATAGGACAAGGCAGTTCATCTTGTATAAGATGAATGGACCATATCCTATGTAAGAGATTTTAACGAGGAACGAGTAATATGAGGAAGAAATTAACTACTGTTCTCAAATGTAATTAGAAAACACAAATAGTTTGAACTGCAAATTAAATTTGTAAAAAATAAATTACAAATCATTAATTTTTCAAAATTCAATACTATGAAATATTGAATTAAACGTGAAAGTCTCGTGAAATTTTAAGAATCACTTTCATGAATGATTAGGTTCAACGTAATTATCAAAAATATACAGAAAGCGATAAGAATGCTAAATTTGCGACAATGCATTATTATATATAATCACAAAATTTATTAATATAATTTCAATCAATAGATATTTAATGATAATTTCGGTAGCTAAAATATAGTTCTTACCATAATTGTTTTAACCATAGACTCCTAGCTAACAAAGATGCATTATTAGAAGCAAAGATTTAATCATTGCCATTACCTGACTAAGTGTCTATTTGTTTAATTGTCTACTTGTCTATTAGTGAACTTATCTATCTTGGACCTCCCTACCTGCAGACTCGTATACCTGTCTACTTGTCTAACTATTTACCTGCCTACCTGCCTATTGGTCTACATACCTATTGGTCTACCTGGCTACCAGATGACCTACCCACGAGTCCACCTGCATAATTGTCTATTTTCTTACCTATCTATCTGTCTACGTTGTTAGCTTTCTACCCGTTAACCTGTCTACCTCTCTATCTTCCAATTTGTCTAATTGCCATTTTTGCACTTTTTACTTCGTATCTCCGAAACGGCTGGATCTGCCAAAAACTAATTATTACGACTCGTTGTCAATTCTCATCGAATGTATTTTAAATCAATCTAATTGGTTGTTCTATTTTTGAAAAAACTGACTTCCTATTTTTGCACATTTTGCCACGTATCTCCGAAAAGACTGGACTTGTCTTTGCCAAAAACTAAACAGCACGTCTTCTCATGAATAGGAATCGAATGTTTATGGAATTATTCAAATCGGTTGGTCTGTGCGCCCGAAATCGTGGATGAAGAATTGTATCCAAACATACATTTGTGCATAGTATAGTATATACATACACACAAACACACATTAATTCATTTTTTAAGGTTTTCCAAATTGTTCAGGAGGTCTCAAAACGTAAAGATATATGCGGGAAAAATTTACGTAATCTATTTTTTTGCAATTACTATAACATATCCTAAGGAAAGTTAATTATGAAGCTAAAAAATTGCTCTAGATACTGTCGTGGGAGTAATACTTGACAACTGAGAAGAAGAAATATGAAAATTGAATGGCAATAATTAAAAGAGAAGTATAATTTTAGCGCAAAAACTGTAGCATTCTAGATCCTCCCCCTATGATTTAATACCTAACGGCGGTTTCCGTAGGGACCAGAGGCATGAAATAATATCTATTATTATTGATTACGGCTTGCACATGAATAAATAAATAAAGATAAGTGGAGGTTGTAGTCGGCATTAATAATAATATTCGGTATTAATAATACCGTATTATACCCAGGTGGTATTGAGTCCAACATACTCAGACAAAAGACCCAGTCTGGGATGCAAAAATGCATTTACTTCGCTATACAAAAAAACTAAATAAGTCTTTGTAATTAGAATAAACAATTGTCAACGAATATTGTCAGGTTTTTAATCCGCCAATGGGGAGTGCTAATCCACTTTTTTAGGCGTTTTTAAAATCTTCAATAATTATCTGGCTAGAAAATTAACCTTACATAAAATATTTTAATTGTCGTAATCTAAAAGAAATGCTCTTGATACCAACAGGTAAAGGTGTAAGTTGTATCATGATACCCCCTCCATGAGGTAAAATCTTCGTAAGTTGTTTCATTCCATGCAATGGGTAATGTTTTTAGTTTCACGTCGGCGCTTCGACGGGAATGTTGTGGAGGTTGGTTCTTTCGTTTGCCTTTACTTTCACGTGGTTGCCATTTAATTTTATTAAATGTATGTATAATTAATTTTATATTCAATATATATGTATGAATTCATATAAAACTGTTTTTACAAAGTTTTATATTAAGTGCATATTTTTGTGACTGATATTTATGTGATCCATGTGATTTTCCATGAGCACGTGCTTTTGCAAAAGTGACAATATCTATTTAATAATTATAATTACAATATATATTTAATATTATTTAATGATTTTTTATGGTTTTCAAATTAGTGAAAAACATGTGCCTTAGTATAATAATTCTGTGGGGACATGTGCTTTAACTTTGAAACTGTGATTGTGTTGTGCCTTGATTAAAATAAATATTAACTAAATATTATAATAATATATATTTCAATTAAGTGGTTGGTGTTTTTAAAGAGGATTAAATTATTATTCATTTTTGTGTGAGTATATAATTTAAATTATGTACTTTAAATTTTTCATGTATGAATTTATATGGCCCTAACAAATGGGCCATTTGCATGATTTACATTCTATAGTTATATAATTTACAACTATATTTCTTATAATTATTTTACTTAATTTAATTTACAGATATTCTATGCTAAATTTACACTTTTTTCAAAAAATAATAAATAACTTTGAATTGATATTTTTTAACAAATTAAAACTTGACTTACCATATCAGTCATATTTGTCTGACGCCAAGATGTTCTGCAGGAGTCATGATTGATATATATGCCTGACATACTTGATTTAGTAGGAGACCACAAGTAAAGAAAATTTTTAATTTAGTGACATGAAAAATACTTTTTTTACAGAAATTTTAGCAAAAAAAATTTTTTTAGTTACAATAAGTTTCAATGGTCCATGGAAAATTTGTCTAATGTTATCGTGGCGATTAACGTGTTGAGCTAATTATAAGAACTAAAAAAATTAATTTCAAGTTTGATATTGTTTTATCATTATAATTGACTCCTATATTTTTCGTTTGCTACTAATAGTTTCTTTAGAAGAAAAGTATCATTTAATTAATTTTTTTGCATATAATTTTTAGATTTTTTTTAATTTAATAAATTTTGACCACTCGCATTGTCAGAGAAACAAAGTTTTTATAGGATCAGTAAAACTTAATGTTCAATGTTTATAATTAATAATAAAAATTAAATAAAATTAATATAATGATTAAAATTGGAAACTAATAGGAATATTTAATGCTTTTTTATATGAATTTATTTGGAAATTTTGGAAATTACACAAAAAAGACAAAAATTTGTACATTAACACATTAATCGCCACGATATAATATCAGAAAAAAATCAAATGGGACATAGTTACTTTATCCGATTATTTAGTTAAAAATGTATCAAGGAAATTGATGTATCAAAGAAAAACATATTTTTGCCAAAATTCCTGGAAAAACATTAGTTTTGACTGATATGGTCATTTTTTAATTTATTTATTAATAGACACAAAGGAGAGGAATCAAAAAAAAAAAGAAAAAAAAAGATGATAATAATATTAATAATAATAAAAGAAATTATTTAGAGTTCACTCTAATGAGTGAAGCCTAGTGTGATATGGTCGTGTATTAAAACTTTGTTTCTCGGCAAGCCAAAAAATTTTCAGATCTAGTTGTCAGACACATATGTCTGCCATGGGTCATGCAGAACTTCTTATCGTTAGACGAATGACTGACATGGCGGTTAACGTGTTAAGTGTATATAAGAATCTTCTTAGGATTCACTAAGCATTAATAAGCATTATCTAGTAGATTCAGCAGATTAAGCATTATCTAGTAGCCATACTCTTTTAAATCTTTTATTATCTGGAGGACAATTTATTGACTGATTTTATTTCTATATTTGATTATATGTTACAAGCCCTGGACAATGTTATCACAAATTGTGATTGTGAGTAAAAGTAGTTACATAACAATCAAAGTACCAAAATTCAATCTCAAGTACTTCTTCCTTGCACTAAATCGACCACTTGTTGCCATTACCGCCATGCCCCCCACAAATGCAATGTAAAATTCATTAATTACGATCAATCTTATTGAACTCAAATATCGATCACAAATCTTATTGAACTATCGAACTATGTTGTATATGTAACTGTGTCAACATAAATACCATTCATGAACAATATAAACGACAATGTATCCAGCCACAATGTTCTTTCTAGACCTGCCCTAATGCGTTGTAAATTCAAGTATCCAGAGCTGGTCGTTTAATTTTATGTTTTTTTACATTACTTTTCTATATAATTTTATTGATATCGCTTTATTATGTTGAATAACATCTTAATATCGTACTATGCCTGAGCTCATTAAAAATATACTTATGTCTTATGTATTTTTATTGGTGCTGATACGGCGTGTTCGGTTTATCTTGCTACTTTTAATGTTATTGTCATCGTAAAATTGAAACTTTAGTTTGTACAGTAATATTCAGTGAATAATAAATAGAACAGAAATATTCTTATCATATGTGATTAAAAAAGCAGTTCTATTGACGCCTCAGACATCTTTACATAAGCAGCAATGGTATCACCATTAGTCCCCTAATATATTTAATTATGATCTCATCAAACAGAAAATGGACAACCCTACCCCTTTTAAGTCAGATAGGGTGAAACTAGTTAAAGTTTACTACATTTTTTTGGAAACACTTTTATACACTCTGATATAAAAGTTTTGAATAAAACGACTTTGAATTCGATATTTCATTCTTTAGTAATAAATAGAAAATTCGGGATATTTTTTGGTTTTTGTCACATAGCTCAAAAATTTCATATAGAACCACCCCTATTCAGTTAGATAAGGTGAAACTGCAAATTGCAAATTGTAATAAATTGCAAATTAAGATGTAATTCTTTTTATCAACGGTTTTCTCAAAAAAGCCTGAACCAATTTTGAAATTTTTGTTGAAGTTGGAGAGATATCAGTTTAAGAATCCTGCTGATTACTTTTTGGTGAATATCGTCCGGGTCGTTTCTTCGTAATCTTTTGGTAATTTTTTTTAACAATTCTGCATATTTTATTTTATATTATTCAAAAACCAATCTATTTTTTTCATTATTTAGTGCAATGTAATTGAACTTTATTTTGCTGATAGAACATATTGGCTGTCAATACATCCGCAGTGCGTTTCGCAACTTGCAATCGTTCTTCCGTTACAGATTCCAAAACGGAAATTTAATATTGCTATAATTTCAAATTAATTAGATTATGAATATTCGCATAATCTATATTTAATTACTTGGATAGATTACATCGCTCAAGTAGATCTAAGGAGAAATAACGGGACAAACTAAATTTGCCAGATATGGCTCCGCTCTCAATACTAGTATTGAAACAGATTGTTTTTCAAATGCATAATTCGATTTTGATGAAACTTGACATACATTGTTACTACACTTTACTAAATATTTGACAAAAATTTAAAGTTGAAACATTCAATAGTTTCTGAGATAGGCCAGGTTGATGGGTGGCTGGCTCCGCTCTCAATACTAGTATTGAAACAGAATGCACGTTTTCAAAAATGCATAATTCGATTTTGATGAAACTTGACATACATTGTTACTACACTTTACTAAATATTTGACAAAAATTTAAAGTTGAAACATTCAATAGTTTTTGAGATAGGCCAGGTTGATGGGTGGCTGGCTCCGCTCTCAATACTAGTATTGAAACAGAATGCACGTTTTCAAAAATGCATAATTCGATTTTGATGAAACTTGACATACATTGCTACTACATTTTACTAAATATTTGACAAAAATTTAAAGTTGAAACATTTAATAGTTTTTGAGATATGCAAGGTTGATGGGTGGCTGGCTCCGCTCTCAATACTAGTATTGAAACAGATTGTACGTTTTCAAAAATGCATAATTCGATTTTGATGAAACTTGGCATACATTGTTACTACACTTCACTAAATATTTGACAGTAATTTAAAGTTGAAACGTTCAATAGTTTTTGAGATATGCGAGGTTGATGGGTGGCTGGCTCCGCTCAGTTGTTAGAAAAACCCGGGACCCAAGGTGGAAATCCTGGACTGTCCCGGCCAAACCGGGAAATATCGTTGTTGGTATCGAAAAATCAAAATAAATACGTTTTAAATTTATTTTTTTTAAGTTAAAAAAATTAATAGCAATTTCATGTTAAATTTATATTATTAAATATTTATTAGTAGTTAGTAATTTATTTTTTATTAATAAATTTTTTATTCCAAATCTATTTTTTTATGTAAGTAAATTTTTTTAAGATATCTAACAAGTTTAGATATCTACTTAGCATTTCAATCCATAATTTTCAAATACTCCAGGTAATTAGCTGGTATTTAGACAGTAAATAATGAAGAATATTAATGTTTGTGGTACTTGGCTGTCTTATTCTAATTTCTCTTTCACTTTTGCGCTTAACAACATATTATTATTATTATTATTACTCTTAGTATTACTATATGTATTTGCACCAAGTTATATTTGTATTGCTAATTGCTCTGTAAGAAAACTGAGACCAAGTACCACTGAGGTCAGAGAAGGTGATATTTTTAAAATTCAATTTAATAATTTACAGGATAGTTTAGGTTGATATAATATAGAAGCAAAATATTTTAATTATTGCTTTATGCAAAATGACAACATGAGAATTTAATCACAAACTAAATAAAATCTCCTAAAATTTATTTCTCTCCTCTTCATTCAACGGTCAATTAATTTTCTGCGTTACAATCTTCTTGATAAAAATTGACACTGCCAAAATTGAGATTGCTTTTGAAATTGAATATGGTAATATGATACTTAACAAAACGTTCAAGCTCGATAAAAATGGATATAAAACATTATATGGAGTTTGCAAAAAAACATTTTGTACCACATGTGTGGTATTAACTAAGTATAAGTATCCATAACAAACTTTTCTTGTTTTTATCTTTCGTGTCAAATAACAATTGATATTATAAATATCAATTTATATCATGGACAAAACTGTAGCGTGAAACTTAATCTTTTAAATTAATCGTCTTATTTGATTTTATGGTAATATAAATTCATTAGAAGTGTCATCGTAAAACTGATATGGTTCTTGTTCTCAGACTATAAATGGTGCTATTTGATTAAATCGAATCGTTTGTTATTTTGAATCACATCTTGGATATGTTAGTGAATTTATAAATGCATTTGTCATATTTGGACATGATTTGGTCAGAAGTCTTTTAAGATATTCGCATCTAATTTTTGGAAATGAATTCAATTTAAAACTATTTTTTTTACTTTATTATTGTTTATTTTCAAAATGTTATTTTATATTTTTCTTATTGCTTTTCCTGATGTAAAAATTTCAAAAAATTGGAGAATGATGACACAACCGTGTCGAAACGTATAAACAAGTCGTTCATAATTTATTGTTTCTTTTATTTCGACGATTGGCTGTAAATTAACACTCAAGAATATGTCTCAACGCCGAACAAAAAAATCTAAAAATTACAATTTAATCAAGGACCCTATAATTAGAGGACCTTCTCTCATATTTCTAAGAATTATATTAATTGATTTGCAAATTTGAAATTACTTCTTTCAAGTATATTTATTGATTTATTCAGAATGTTTGTTTTTTGTTATTATTCCTTACTAAAATTGCTCTATATCGACCTGATTGAATTATTTCGATTGAAAAGTCTAATGCGTTCTAATGGGAATTTTTCTATGTTAATCATTTTACCTTGTTCATTTTTTCAAATTTATTGACTATTTGTCTTTTATGCCTTATTATTTTATTTAACCAAACTTTGTAATCTGTGTCCTAATTTTATATAAATACAGTTCAATCCTTTATATACCGTCTTAAGCATTTGCATTTGAACTAAATGTACATATGTAGGCGCAATTCTGATTTATTGCACCAGGATATGCTTAAAATGGATATTTCATACATAGATTTAAATACTATTTTTTGGAATAATATTCAATATTATATGAGATGTTTGTGCTATTTTAATAGTCTGGGAATTTTCTTTCAATAGTGTGCTTTCCATAAGAAGAAGACATCTTGAAATCTTTTTATCCTAAAATTATCTTTGCTAGAGAAGTATGAGTATCTGATAGTATTAAAAAGCATAAAATGTACTATGTTTTTAAATATGTAGTTATTCTTGTGTAGGAATTCATAAAAACAAAATACAATTATATAATTTTATTCATATTTATAAATTACAAATGGAGAAGTTCAAAGAGTTGTACTGGTCAACTGGCAAGAATTCCATTTTTCTAGAAAAAATTATATAATTTTCGAAAATTATTAATATTGCTTTGAGGACTATTATAAAATTGTATACCTATAGCATAGTTTACACCAGTAACATTATCTATTTCATTATTATTTTATTAATAAATTAATTTTTCTTCTATTCCAGGCATTGGCCGAAGAACTGGTATTCGTGTGAGGAATTATATTTCCCCAAGATGAACCATTCCACTTTTCTTCACCATTTCGGTCATATTTCCGATAAATTTCTCATAATTAATAGTCCGCGTGTTATAATATAGTGAACTCGATAAAAAAATAGTTTGTGTTTGTGAATTTCGAAAGAACTATTAATTTGGCAAGATGACGAATATGAGCAGGATACGAGTTGTGGTGCTGGGATCGGCCAGAGTTGGAAAGTCAGGTAAGTCTTAGATTATTTAAATAATTTATATGTAATATTTAGAACATTTGAAGGGGATAAACATAGTCGACTTCATGCCTCAAATAGGAAATTTATCTTTAGATTTGATCAAGTTCTTAAACAAATAGCACAGCTATTCTTCTTGACCCAGTTCGTACGCATTATTAGAGAACTTCACCCATTTTCCATAATTTTGATTCCCAAATCGTGTTTCACATAAAACATAATTTTTATCCAAGAATTAAATTCCGTTTCTTCCTGTTTATAATACTTTTATTATATGAGAAATTGTGCTTGTAATAACTTTATTAACGCTAATGTACATTTAATGATCGAGTGCGTAATTTGAGATTGAAAACATACGAGCACGCATTTTATTTGTTTGTATTGTAACAATTATCATATTAGATACTAAACTTATAATTTTTGTAATTTCAATTTATAATGGAGTTTTAATATTTAATTTTGTTCGTATTATGTAGGTCAGTAGGTAGGTAGTTGCATTAATATTAAGCAGAAATATCAGTGAAAAGTTGTGACTGAATCAAACTATAGTGATGCTATTTATTGGTAAATGGTAAATTATGTATTTAACTAACATTTATTTATACATTTACGTACGATTTACACAAACAAAGTATTTTCCCAACTAATTGACTCATTCGTGCTCAGAAGATAACTGTTCTTAACAATTTATAGTACTTTATGTGCTTGTACTTAGAATAATTGTCCGATAAATGGATAATTGGCGGATTAAATCTAGGAAATGGTGCCTTTCAGTCTATGTCCATGTTGTTGATTCAAACACATCAATTAACAATTCCAAATTTGGCAAAAGATCACAACTGCATTGATCTCTTTATAAGGAACTAATTAGGATGCACATAATACTTCTTAACTTGCTTTTTAGAAGGCAACCAAATCTACCATTGATATTGTCAAAGATTGGTGATGACTCTTGATCATCTAATTAGGACCTTTCCACAAAATTTGCCATGTCCAAATAAGATTATTTTATCCTTTACCATCTAGCTACTCTACTAAAATCGGCTATAAACGCCCACCCCGAATAGAGGAGTAACAATTGTGCCATGTCTGTTACCTACATACGCAGTTTAAATGCTTTTAAATTAAATTGCCCTTTGATAAATTTACATAAACTTTAAGAACACCAACCAGACGGCCACGTCATTTCTCATCATATTAAATCAAGTGCTGTAACGGCGTCATTAAGTCCGAGATTTGGTGTTAGTCCAAGGGGGTAATGGACAAAATTGAACTGTTGTAGCAATTCTTGAGAAAAATTGGGTAAGAACCTACTTTTCTTAGATTCTTGTCTTTTTGAAAATGTAGTCATACATGGATGACAAAGATCGATTTGTTGGTAATAGACAAAATTGAACTGTTGTAGCAATTGTTGACGAAAATGCTAAAGTTGGTAAGAACCTGGATTCATGTTCTTTTCAAAATGTAGTCGTACATGGATGACAAAGATCGATTCAGCTATTGTTTTAGTTCTCAAAAACCGATGTTGGTCATTTGTTCAGAATCCTCAGGTTTGAATAAAGTCATGACTACCAGATGTATACAAGTTCACAACCAAATTTACCATTTATGCATCAACAGTACTAGTAATATAAATAAAGTACTACCATAAACTGTCACTATTTTACTGTTACTACTCAGTTTCTGGTGACTAATGACTGTCGTGTCGCGTACTCTCGGACTATTCCTGAAACATCGTCGGGTTGGGATTATATTAAACAAGCGACGATAATAATGATTCGAACGCGAGCTTTACAGCAAAACGATCGCGTTGAGTTAAAAATAAAGTAATAAATATTACTATATAGCAAAATCCTACATAATTTCTATACTCTGGTCAAAGTGTACCCGTTAAGGATTGTCTGATCCAAGGATTCTCAAAATTTTGTAATAAACTTATTACTTATCTACTATCAATTTGTATCTGTCGCTCGAATTTGATTGAGAGGCAGTTTAGAGAATTTTTTGGTCTACCTAAATTTCCTTCACTTTCCTAATTTATGTAAATGTAGACATTCTTACATGAAATGCTGCAAAACCACAAAAAATGCTCTTATCAAATAATTATGATTGAAAATTATGTTTTTGTCTCTTAATTTTTGGCATATCTTCTATAAAATGGCTTTAGAATTGGAAAGACATTTTTAACTTTAGATACCAAATTTATACAAATGTGGACATCCTAATAGGATTTGCTTCCAAAATCCAAGTACATAATTATCAAATATTTCCAGTTCAAATTTTTGGTATATTCATAATATTTTTTTGTTTCTATTTTATTCCTAATTTACCAGTGCTTGTTTTCTAAGCAAATCAATCAAAATTTCTTGGCAATGTTTATTACACTTTCGCAAAATCTCGTATTTTATCTGCAATAAAATTTTGTGATGTAATACCATTTTCTCCTACAAGTTCTGTAAATCATTTGGCCACCCAAGATTATCTAACATATTTAATAAAAATTGAAAAACAACTAGTTGGGATAAGTAATTCGTCATAAAATTGAACTATGTGGGCGGAAAATTGCCAATTGGATAAGTTGGTAAGGAACAGCTCAAGTTTACTTGTCTGCAATTTCAATTTCAATTTATATTGATATGTCGTTATTAATTTGTATGATTAATTTATGATTAAATCAGTTTTCTTAGACCTATAATAGTTTATGGAGCTGTTTTGACTATCAACTCGATCGCCAAAGTTTTATCAAAATCTCAGACAATTGAATTTTCTCTTGTTAGAAAAATAGTCTCCGCCTTGTCCAAAAAATATTATGGATATTTTGCTAAAATTTTATGAAAACTGTTTGAGGATAGCCAGACAAGTTATAGATATAGAAAATGATTTAGTTTTATTTTAACTTCTTCAATAGAAATCATTTTTTTTAATTGATCGATAATTATCAATCATAGAGATACTGGCACTGTCTAAAATAACCAATTATAAATAGTTACTTTGGGCAGTATCAGTATCTCTATAAAAATCTGTATATTGTGAGTTGTTGAAATTTTAAAATTCAATCCATGAGCAGAATGAATTTGACATACAATTATCACAAAAATTAGAAAAATGAAACAAGTTATCAATAAAATTCATGGATTTTTTTTCGGGTCCCAAAGTTTTGGTACTCATTGCCTGCGCTGTTACGAACTTTTAATGACCATTATTCACTAACTATTTTGCAAAACTTGAACGTCCTGATATAGTCGTGTACATAATTAATATTTTCATAATAATTATGGGTATAAATAAGCCCATAATGGGCGTTAACCAATGAGTTATTTATAAACGGATAACTCATATTAAACGATAGCCGAGAGTGAGAGAGAACTCTGATCTTGGGAATAAATATATTTATCAATGAATTTTTGTAGATGGTAAGAAATTTTTGCAGTTGTAAAAGATATATAGTGATTGAATGAAAATATCTATAGTACTTGCAATATTTGTTTTACGTCCAGAGTGATTTTGGAGAAATTCGCCTGAAATAAAGGAGCATCAAATAAAGCAGCATTTACCAGCTTTCAAATTTTCTTTATCTTTGGTTAGATTCTTTATTGAAGCTAAAGTATGAACACTATTATTCAATCTGTAGATGTTCATAAATTTCAACCATCAATTGCGCTTGTTGCCTTCGTTGCAGCGCCGATCACTTCGCCTAAAAGTACTACTTCACAAGTTTGATTTTATCCCTTTCCCTGTCAAGTCTCAAGTTATCGCTGGAACTATATCAATAATATGTCGTAGATTCATAAACTGACATTTTCACATAAATCCAGTATGTCATTCACTTTTAGTAGCAATGCCAAACATCTAATTTCCTTTTTTACATCATGCCGCTTAAATCGGAGGTATCAATCATTCTGAATGTAGTACAACAAGACCGCCGCGTAACAGATTCGTATGTATTATTAAAATCGGCTTTCCTCAACTTTTGATTTGTGATCATTGAAAGTAGGTTTTTATTTCGTTTTGGAATTAACACTTTTGCAAAATATGAAAAATTACAGGAAAAATATTAACTGATAATTACAGAGCGCTGCGGACGAGGCGAAAAAATGATGTATAGTATGGAATCGGTTTCTGCATGTTTATTGGACAAAAAATTGGGGAATTATATTATTGATTGAATTGAGTTTCTCACGTTATGGTTAATTTTATTGCGATGAAAACAGCTAGCTGATCATTTCACACAAAATATATATTTTTGTTTTAAACATGCTCATTTTTGTGGAAACTGGCAATCTGATATAGCGCCATTTGACTATACTATTTTCACGCATAAAATTAGAAACAGCGGCATTTTTTAAAATGTTCTGAATACATACGGTAAATATTCTCTAGAATTCTAAAATTATGCTCTTTTTAGAATTTCAGAAATGATTTTTAAGCATAGAAACTAATACTTCTTCAATTTTATTACAATTTTCGAACTACACTACAATTTTGCCGAAGAGGCTCCAATGGCATTTTGCTTGAAGGCGAGTTTCGTGAAATTCCAGAAATTTGTGAATAATGGACTTTGTAATAAGAATTTATTCCAAATTTTAATATTTTTTTATAATTAAATCACTTTTTGTAGACCCATAGCCCTATTGGCCTAATAAGATATTAACCCTATCATACAATTTTTTTACCAAAATTGCCAATTTTTGTTCTAACATTAATTACGAAAAAACGTCGCAGCTGATCTTCACCAAAAACTAGTCATCACGATTCCCCTACCGATATTTTTCAGTTTATAAATTTTTAAAATCTGTTTAGAATTTATTTTTTGAGAACTTGGTACGTTTTTTTTAAGTAAATCAGTTTTTGTAGGCTCATAGTCCTACTAGCCTTTTAAAATATTCTTTAAGAATATGAACCTTATCATACACATTTTACCAAAATCGCCAAAATTTTTTCAACCATGAATCACGAAGAAACTGCGCAGCCGATCTTTACCAATCATCACGATT